GAGTTGTCACCGGGCACTTTTTCCGGTACAAATTCATGGATGGATTTTTCCACTGGCAGCCAGTCGTGCAACAGTAATCTAAATGAAATTACCTCGGAGCGTCAGCCGTTATCACTAGATATCATCATTTTGGCAGTATTTAAATTTCTGTTCATGTAGATGACCTCGAAACCTCCTGAATCCAGATCGATGTGAAACTTGGACAGATTTGATTTCTATCAAACGGAACTATGTGCATTTAGACATGGGCCCTGAGACCCATAAGAATTTGTGCGTAACAGGGCTCACGCCATAATGCACATAGTTCTGTTTGATAGAAATACGTCCATTTGAATTAACCTCTTTCATATCTCTTAAACAAAAATATCCTACTTTCGACCACTCAGGCTGTTTGATTTGCTCAGTTTGACAACATATGTATTAAGGATATGTCTAGCAATTAATTAGAGATTTTTCACAAGTTGTCTTTGTTTAACCAGTGAATCTCTGCCGATACTCAAATAATGTATTTTTTCGTCTTCTATCGAGGAAGGAGGGGGTGGGGGCTGCTTAGTTCTATTGAACTTAATGCTGAAACATCGTATCTGAAATTTTACGCAATTTAAAAATACGAAATTAAAATGAAGTATTTCCCGGAACTTTACAAGATTCTAGAAGTATAATGGAAATGGGTTTCAATTTCCCGTTTAATTTCAAAATTAATTGTAAAAAAATTACATTTTTTTATTGTTTGGTGTTTTTGAGTAAAGGTTGTATTTATATATATAGCTCGCTCAGACTGAATATTTTATTTTTTCATGAACACAATCTCTTGAAATTGCGTGAAATATTGTTAGGAATTTTCAGCAATGTTTCGCGCCGAAAAAAGAAAAAAATCTTTGGGTTTTTTCTGCTAGAAAACGGAACAAGAGCGGAGATTTGCAACGTCGCAATCGGATATGCACACTTTTTAACTGTAGCCATCGATGTGTCACTTTTACTCCTCACAATGCCCTAATAAGCACTGTCACTCGTTTCTTTTTTCCAAAACTCGATCAATTTTTTTTTTTTTTTTTTTTTTTTTTTTTTTTTTTTAATTATTTTAAATCATTTGCATTTTGTACAGTCTTCCAATCTTCTCCTTAAACATTTCTTCATTTTACTGGATCAAACAGAAACTATGTAATCGCTGTCGACACACAGATACGTAATAATCGATGTGACGTTGAGACAGCCTAAAGCAATGAGATGACAACCAGCAGATTCTATTTATGTCTCCAGATGCTGGATTTCATGGTTACTGATGATCTTATCAGGCCGATTTCAGATGAGGTCCGATGTGGCATTGAATTCACCGTCCGTAGCTAACTAGTGGAGGATTTTCTGAAAAAATAAAACATAAAAAATTGATCAAGTAAGGAGAAAAATACTAATAAATGTAAACAAAATTTTGCTGTTAGAGGAGGTCTATATGAGTTACATCTTTTTTGGTTCTGTTAAAAGCAAGACCTTGAATTGAAAAGCTCATCTTTTGAGTTAATCACGTGGAACACGATGGCGATATTTGTGGGGCTTGGAAGACAAGGCGCATAAGTGCAGTTTTTGCTATTTCGAGAAATAAGAGTTTGAAGTTTCAAAATTACGTGGACCCTTATGGCGGAGAGAAAGTTCAAACCGACTTTTTGATACTTAAAAATCTGAATTTGAGAGCGAATTTTTCACAGAATATGCATTAAGATTAGTTTCATTGGAAATCGTTACTATCTCAATTTTTTCAACTTTTATCCGTCTTGTCCTCCAAGCCCCTCATTCTAACTCGGCCTTAGTATGAAGGTCAGGGTGAAATGTCATAACATCTCCAAAAACTTCCTAAAATGGAGCAAATGGGTTTGTTGCACGTAAGAAATTATCCACAGTCAAATGAATCAATGTGCCATTGGTAAAGTTGTACAAAAATCACGATATGCACATCAAAAATGTCTAGAATCCACTCCCAAGCGCCCAGTCTGCGTAGGATTCAACACCCTATCTAAATGTCGAAGGTCGGCAACAACCCCTCCTTCTTACCAGCTCTTACCTTCTCTCGCCAAGAATCCCTGACATTTTTGGGGGAACCCAGGGATTCCCATGAGACTTAGTGGCCATACCCTCCCTATGCACTCCAAAGGAGCTTCTCTATACCTAACGTGACTACTAACGTAACGCAAGGATAGCGCTACCGTGATAGCGAAGAGAGCACTAAGGATCAAATTTTCGAAATCGAGTTTCCTTCTAAATTCGACTAATCTCTTTTAGGTGATCTCACTGAAATAGCTAAAACAGAAAAATTCATCTTATTTGCATGAAAACGAGACTTATGAGATAGCCGTGAGTGCGCAAAAAATGACTCAGTTCCAGGCAAAACAGCAGTAAGTGACAGTATTCCTCCAGAGAGCCAATTAAAACAGTGCTTTCAAGTAAAGTGCCGCCCTCCTCTGCCAATTTCTAACTTGAGAATGTATTTGTTGTGTGTCCAAAACGCAACCACGAAAGCATGCAGTAGACAGCACTTACGGCTGCCTTGCCTGACAATAACCTAGCATGTAAATGAAAATACCCTTTTTATGTCCACTGGAAACAAAAATACATTGGATTTAGAGTCCAGACTCTTAAAAACATCGACAAGAAAAAGTACTCTTGATTCAATCGGATTTTTGCTTAAATCAAGAACCAAGCCTCTTAATTTGAGTGGATTTCCTTTTGATTTAAGCAAAAATTTGATTGAATCAAGAGTACTTTTTCTTGTCGATTTTTTTAAGAGTCTGGACTCTAGATCCAATGTGTTTTTTCCCCAGTGTAATTGAAATAAAATCAGTCGATTTTTGATCATCCAAACGATTTCTAAGCGTCTTTCGGACGAATAGTGATGATTTGAGAAAGAACAGAGGCTTCTTTCAATAAAAGTTTCCGGTCTGAGTACTCCGAGCCCGTTTTCCTGAAACTTCATTTTTGCACTTAATGCTCTCCTCGGTATCACGGCAGAACAGTGTGGGTGTGGGTTCTCTAAAATTCATTGTCTCTGCCACGGATCCTGCTTGGAAGCTCGACCGGGCTCGGAGCCGGATCAACTAGCTGCCAAAATTCGACGAGGCCGATGTTTGAGCGATTTGATAATTCATTCACGCGAGATCTCCTCATTTTCCCGGGCGGGTCCTCGGGTCGTCGTTTGTCACTCCTACAAATTGGTGCTCCGCGGATCACCGGCTAATCCCCTGCCCCC